GTGAGGGCTGCCAACTTAATGACCGATATTCAACCTCAGAAAGAAGTCACAAATCGGATTAATTGTCCCCTGGACCCTCACGGAGAGCCTTGTGAGGGGAAATGGCCTCTCAACAGATAAATAGTAAATACGATGGAATAATTATAAACAAAATGGCCCTGGCGGTTATTTTAGGTGCCAAAATGTAGCAGCAACCATCACCTCTTATTACAAGCTGATGCAAGCTGACAAGAAACGAGGCGATCTAAGGAGAAATTGGGCTCTGAAGCCCCACTCTTGGTGTTCTGATCGGGGGAAACAGAGAAAAAGCCTCAACTGTTTAAACTGGCCGCTCGTCTTTTAAAGCAGCTATTTTAAAGCAGCTTTTAAAGCACAGCAGGGCTTCGCAATGCCAAGCCAATCTCCGATGTCAAGATGTGGTTTCTAATTGCTGCGGAAGCGGCTAAGGGCTCCCTGGGAAGCCGATGTGTATTCCGACCGCAGTCTTTGCCAATTATTATTAGTAGTACATATATTAGTACATATAATTATTAGTACATATAATAATTATTATTATACATATATTCTAATACATGTGACTGATATAATTGTGTTGATCCTAGTCAATCTTTTTAAAAGCAGAGACTTTAAGGCCAATTTTTTTAAATTCCAAATTAGGAACACCTTTCAGGGCGAGAAAAAAAGACAATTGTCCAAATGGCCCTCAACAGCTGTCTGCGCAGGTGGACACATTGGTGCTTGCTATTATGCTGCTAACTTCCAGAAATTGTCTTTAAGGGTTGCCAACTTAATAGCCAACAAGCCCAGAAAGAGGACCAAAATTGGATTGATTTGTCCCTTAAATCTCATGGAGAGAGTCTGCATGGGAATATTGCCTCTCAACAGACAAAAAAGGGTAGCAATCCCTATGGGATTTTTCCAGCCAAAATGGTGCCGGCGGTTATTTTGTGTGCCAAAATAGCAGCAACCATCACCTCTCGCAAAGATTATAACTGTCTTGGTAAGGCGGAGGCAAAGGAGTGGGAATGCGAGTGCAGATGCCCCTCTCCACAGGTGTTCTTAGCGGGGAAGGAAAAGAAAAGCCTTGGGTAGTTAAATCTGACAGCACGTTCCTTTAAATGGCTCGTCAGCAGGGCTTCACAATGGCAAATTAACAGAAATGCCTCCGATCGGTGCAGAGCGGCAAAAAAAACTCCCCCGGGGGCCAATCTGTGCTCTGACTGCAATCTATACGAAGTGCTGTCAGAAGCAATTATTTTAAAAAGGTCTGAAGGATGTTCTAATTAAAAGGCTGTAATTCAAACCTCTCTCTTCCTAGTCCGGCCAAGGAACCAAACAAGCTGCCTACCCAGCGAAGGCTGAGCTGAAACTGGGGGACGCTAAGGAGTGCGTGGAGGAGGAGGAGCATCCTATCAATCAAGCCCAGCCTATCCGAGCAGTCTAAGCACCTCCCACTGCTGGATGCTCATTGGAGAATGTGCCCACGAACACAGCTTCCATGCAGTGAGGCTTGACATAGCAGCATTTTGGGGCCTGCTCCACTCCATCTCTGCTCTCAAGGGCAGCGGCTACTTCTCTCTGCTGCTGCTCTTGCTGGGAGAGCAGACTACAATTTAGCAGCTGTCAGCCGCCACTTTGGGTCCTCTAAGTCCGATCCGGAAAGCGCTGCAGCACAGAGAAGCAGCAGCCATGTTGAATGCTGTTTCTCTCAGCTGCAGCGCTTCCTGGACGGGACTTATAGGACCCAAAGTGGCAGCTGACAGCTGCTAAATTGCAGTCTGCTCTCCCAGCAAGAGCAGCAGTGGAGAGAAGCAGCTGCCCTGCTGACCCAGAAAGCACATGGAGCATCTCCGCGAGCAAAACCTCAGCAAGGGACGAAAGAAGCGGCTGCAAGATCTCCTCTGCAGCGCTTTCCGGATGGATCTTCTTAAAGGTAAGAAGAACTGTCTGGTCCACTCCCCAACCACTTCGGACCTCCTGAACCCCTGCTGCTGCCACCCGCGCAGCCCTTCGGCCTAGCACAGCAGGCCGCAGGCCAAATAAATTGCTTCAGCCTGTGGGGCTGTAGTTTAAGGCCAGAGGGGGAGGCATGCGGGTGGAGACCTGAGGCAAGTCCAGAGCTGAGGAATGGTGCGTTCCCCAACCCGGTCAAGGAGAACAGCAAGCAAGTAGAGGCTCCTGGGCAAGGCCAGTGCCGGGGAATGGCGCGTTCCCCAACCTAGCTGAAGCGAACGGCAAGCAGGCAGCATGCATTGCTTACATTTGGTGAGCAGAAGAGGTGAAATGCAGAGATTAGCTGCGCCACATGGCGAAGGCAAGATATATAGGGCAGGGTGGAGTGGGCGGGAAGGGGCAGGTTGGGTGGGGCCAGCCGGTGGTGCAACTGAGTCTATGAGAGCGCGCTTCACATAGGCACAGCACAGCACAGCATTCAAAGACCACCCTTGGTGTCAGTGCTGGTGAGGTGATGTGCTTTTTTAGCTCAGCTGAGGTGCGGCAATCCACTCTGCCGTGCAAATCAGTTGAGCTAAAAAATAAGGGAATGTAGCCTTATTTATGGCAGGAAAGGGCAAGGTCGGGGGCAGGTGGGTGGGGCCAGCCAGAGGTGGTATTTGCCAGTTCTGCAAACTACTCAAAATTTCCACTACCAGTATGCTCAAATGAGTCCGAACTGGCTGAATACCATCTCTGGTTTCCTTGTATCAATCAAAATATTTGGATTAGGCTAGTCAATGACTGCTGCATTGTCCTGGGGTCATGTAATCACCATTTATAACCTTCCCAGCCATCTTCCAACAAAGTCAACAGGGGAAGCCAGAATCGCTTCATGACCATAACTACAGTGGTACAATTAACTGTGGCAAAAAAGGACATAAAATGAGGTAAAACTCATTTAACAACTACCTTAACAACGGAAATTTTGGGTTCAACTGTGGTCGTTAGTTGAGAACTACCTGTATTTTACCATTTTTCTTAAGTTTAAACCTCTGGCATCTCCAACTCAGAGAAGACAAGCTGCCCCCATCTGAAATCCACTCGGAATAGCATTTATGGCATCTTGTGTAAATCAAGTCAGGTTGGAGTTGATACAATAAGCTGTGGCTAAGGAAACCATAGTTATTCAAATTGTAGTAAGACAGCCACAAGTTGAGGTTGGATATGAACTATCCAGTTTAACCCTGGTGCGAAATAATAGGTGTGCCATGGTAGATGCAGTCCCACACACTCAACCCGCTGCTGGGCGAATGTGAACCTAGTTATGCTGGTAGTGCTCAATTTATAATCCAAAGGTAGGATCCATTTTTCTTTTAATGGCATATTCTTCGTATAAAACTGGAGCATTTGAAGAAAAGATAGGGCAACCCTGTCTGAAATGGTATAAGTCGGGTGTCAGCAACCCGCGGCTCCAGAGCCGCATGCAACTCTTTGGGATCTCTGCTGCGGCTCCCTGTCCCATCACTGGCTGGCCCCACCCCTCACCCTCCCTTCCCAGTCACTCCTTGCCTAAGAAAGTAAGGGTGATGGTGGTGGATGGAGACTCACTCCATATTCCAGAGCAGGAGTGAAGGGCCCATCTACTTGCCTCTTCTTCCAGCCCTTGTTGGTGCTGCATGCACCTCAGTCGCTCGGGGAGACGTGCGACTTGCTCTCCGCCCCAAGACACTGGCCTGGCCCAGCTGTGGCTAACACCGCTGCTCTCACCACCTCCATGGCCTGCTTGCTGCTCTTGCAGCGCCTTGCACAGCACTTAACTTTAGCATGCTTCACGGTGGGGGAGACAGTGTCCCCTCCTCCTCCTGGAGCCCATTATGACACAGAACATTGGCTTAAACCGGGCTGGGACAGTGTCACAGGGCGGAGAGAAAGTCATGCGTCTCCCTGAGCAACCTGTCTGCAGCATCAACAAGGGCCAGAAGAAGAGGCAACTACAGGGTGCTTCGCTCCCACTCTAGAATATGGAGAAAGTCTCCATTCGCTGCTGTCACCCTTACCTTCTTAGGCAAGGAGTGTGAGGGGAAGGCAAGGGGCGGGGCCAGCCAGTGGTGAGTTCAGCCCACAGGAAGCCACAGCAGGGGGACGAAAGAGCTTCATTTACAGTTGTGCTCGTAAGTTTACATACCCTGGCAGAATTTATGATTTCTTGGCCATTTTTCAGAGAATAAGAATGATAACACAAACCTTTTCTTTCACTCATGCTTAGTGGTTGGCTGAAGCCATTTATTATCAACTGTGGGAAACAGGTCCAAATGGCTCTTTTGAGTGTTTAAGGTTGCAGAGCCCTGGTATAGGTTCTCCTGCTTGAGCAGGGGGCTGGACTAGACCTCCAAGGTCCCTTCCAACTCCGTTATCCTGTTACAGTTGAGCCGTCAGGCCACATGGTCTTAGTATCGCTGAGAAGCAGCTTCCTGCGGGCCAAGGAAGCCACTCGTTTCACCTCTACCTGCCCTAGGAAAGCGCGGCTGAGCAGATTTCGCTAACTTTCTTCCGCCGGCAGGGACATCCCTCCCAAGCGCGGCCTTGCCTACCCGCTCGGCTCCAGGAAGGGGAGGGGCGCACCACGTGCGTTCCCCAACTCTAAATCCCCCACCCCATCCCCAATCTCGAAAAACTGAGCGCTTTCTTCTCCCCCACACCTTTTCTTGCCCCTCTCGGCGTTCCCCTCCACCCCCTCACCCCTTTTTTAAACGCACGCCGCGCACTCAGCCGCCAATGGTCTCGGGGCGCACGGCCTCGCCTCCGTCCCCTCTGGGAACCACTTCAGACTCGCGCCAAATAAGGCCGAGGGAGGGTGATGTGGTAAAGGAGGCGGCCGGGCGCACGAGGATTCCCAACCCTTCACTTAAACTGGGCCAGCCGATGGGCAGCCTCGAAAACCAGCGGTGTGAACAACGGAACGGCCACCGGTGAAAGGGGAGCGGCAGCGCAGCTACCTCGTACTTGTTTTTCTCCCTCTGGCGTTGACCCGGCCGACTTACTTGCCTCCAACCACGCTTGCTTACCCTGTTTGTTTTCATTTAGCTGCCGCTCGAACTCGTCGAAGTCTGACATAGCTGCGGAGAAGGGAGGAGGACGTCCCCTGGTCCGTCCTAGTTACGGTTGGACGATGGTGGCGCGTTAGCCCAGGTCGTCCTCACGCAATAGACCGCAACAGCGCCTTCTCTGGGAGTTCGGCAACTTCCGGTGACTGCTTCGGATGTGAACGGAAATTCTCGGCTATCTCCGGAATGCCTTTCGACAAGTGTCTGGCTTTCCCCGCTCCCTACTCCCTTTTCCCGAATCGTCTCAGAAGCCTTCGGGAAAGGTTGCCTCTCTAGGAAAGTTTCGGATTCTTACGGAGAGGCTCGGATACTTATTTCGGATATTTCCTTCGTCTTAAAACCTTTTGGGCGCCTGAGACATGTCTTTGTAGTCCCGCTTAAAACAAACAAACAAATAAGCCATGTCTTCTTAAAAATGAAGGTCTCGAGTACTTCCGCCGGATGTTGCTCCAGTGCTTCCTGGGGATTTTTAGAGACTACGTTGGCTGAGCTTTCGATGTCAATGTACACAATAACGGAAAAAATGGGAGTATTTTTTTGTTTTCATGAAATATATTCAACTCTGAATAATTTTACATGCTAGGCTTAGATAGCATACTGTGGCGTTAAAAAAGACATGGATGCAGCTATATTTGCAGGGCATACTACAGTAAATCACGTTATATGAAAAAACCCCTTTTCATTAGGTGTGTGTTGAGTGTCACACTAACCCAGAAAATTTGGTTCATTCAATAAAACCTTGAAGGATCAGATGGTGGAATGTATGTACAGATGAGGTTCTGGGAATCAGAGGAAGGCTCATATGTGTTGAGGTAATTCCCCGTTAGGAGAATGAGCGCATAAAGGGAGACGTAGTAAGAGAAGTGTTGGAATAATACACACACAGCACACAGATACACTGTACAGGAAATGTAGGTTTTTTACTTCCAGAAACGTTTAAGCAAAGTTCAAAATAGGCAGTCCAAAGTCATTCACAGGTTAAATCAGTCAGTTTTTAGTCCAGGGATAATCCAATAACACATTCCAGTATCAAAAACAGTTCAGTATCAGACTTACATCAAATCCAGGAATAGCAGTCAATTAGAAGAAAAATGGAGGAACGGCAGTACTCTGTGAGAAGTGTTAATTAAAGTATCCATTTTTATGACTCAAATCTCATGTTGAAAGGGATGTCTTTGAAGTAAGGAAGTGCAGTGCCAGGCACCAATTAAAAATGTTGACTGATCTTGGAATGTTTTTGAAGTGCCAGAAACTAATCAACTCTCTTGGACTGTCTTTGAAATGCCAGATACCGGTTATGTTGATGTATGTTATCGTGTTAAGGAAGTGCCTGTTGTATCATATAAGGTAATAAACTGTAACCTGAGTTCTGAAAGGTAGATTGTAAAATCAAACCATTTGCATAATGGGGGGGGGTAGTTTAGGGTATAAAAATAAGAGTAGGTGCTATGTTTTGTGTTCCTCCCAGCTGCCAAGGGGGAACCCACACCTGCAGATGTGTATTCAATAAAGCCTTTTTCCTTGGATCAACTTTGAATCCTGGTGGTCTTTTTGAGCTGCCACCTCACAATTTGGGGGCCCGTCCGGGATCCTCGACGGTGGTCGACTGGAAAGCGGGGACCAGGTAAGAGAGTGGCCACGACCTCCCATTGAGAGGTACCTCTCCCCAAATTCGGTCAGACTCCCGAGGTGACTGGGAATCCAGACGGTCCTTGGAAAAAGAACTAAGACGAAATGCCAGCTGAGAGTTTGTGAGATCAATCTGAGTTGGGGATGCCCACACATCCTTTTGACTGCGGAGAGTCCAGGAGTGATCAGATCAGGTAAACTTTGTTCCTTTCATTTGTAGCCAAAAGAGAGAGATCCTTAACCTCCCTGGGGGAATCCAGCGTCTGCTGGAGGATTGGGACTAGGAGCCTGGAAAAAGGAGGTCCTTAAACTCTGGGAGAATCCAGCGCCTGCTGGAGGACTGGGACTGGTGAGTCAAGGCTCTGGGAGCCTGAAAGAATAGAGATGGGAAAGGGACAGAGCAAGGGTCTTGGAGACCAGGAAGAAGCCTGTCTGGGACAGGGAAAATTTGACAATGGCAGAAAACCTATTCCGGTAGATTCGCCCCGGGACAACTACTCCAACAGTGGTTCTCCCTGAATCTGAAGGAATTCACCAAACGTCTTGAAAAGAGAAACATGATCTATCTTTGTCGAGACCGATGGCCAAAATATCCTCTGATTGATCCTAAATTTCCGTATCACTGGAGTCCTGAGGGGGAAACCAGTACCTATTGGATGACCCAATTGCGAGACTATATTCTCCAACACAAAATGACCACCCAAATTGCATACATAGATGTATGGTTTCATGTGAAATTTGCAACAGAAGGGCAATGAAAGCGAGACGGATGATTGGCTTCAGAGTCTGCCGCCCTCAAATCCTAACTTGAATAATGTACCAGCCAATGTTCCAGCGGCCCCGCCATTGCTGGCGCCGCAACCCCTTCCTCCGCCGCCTTATCCGCGGCTGAGAAAAGAAGTGGAACAGTTGAGAAGAGATGTTCAAAATTTTCCCTTCAGCCAAAAACCTGAAGTGGATGCATTTCCCCTTGGGGAGGTACCTAATGGGATTAATGCTGCAGGCAACCCGGTGACAGTCTTTGTGGCTGTCCCCATAAAACCCGCCGAGTTGCGAGAATTGAAGAAGACTCTTCCAAAACTTCATGAGAATGCTCATGAGGTGGCCGAACAGTTAGAGCTATGGTTGGGGCTGAATGATTACACTTATCAGGAGTTGATGTACATTTTGGGGCATCTGTTTACTCCTGAGGAGCGGAATCTTATTCGGACCTCTGCAATGAAAGCCTGGGATGCAAGACATCAGGGTCAGGCAAGGGCTGTACCGGCAGATCAGAAATTCCCTATAGCTGTCCCCAATTGGGATCCAAACACCCAAGGAGGTAGGGATGATATGCGGAATATGAGAGCAATGATTGTGGAGGGGATAAAATTGGCAGTCCCACAAGGGAAAAATTTAACTAAAGCCTTTGAGGTAAACCAAGGCAAAGCTGAATCCCCTCGAGATTATTGTACCAGACTCCGGGAAAGTCTAGTTAAGTACTCGGGAGTAGACCCTAGCACACCTGCTTTTGAAGCCATGCTGAAAATGCAGTTTGTGACTGGAGCCTGGCCAGATATCCAAAAGAAAATTCAGAAAATGGATAATTGGGGGGCTGTGGGAATTGTTGATCTCCTGAAAGCAGCCCAACAAGTTTTTGTGAACAGAGACACTGTAAAAACCAGGCAGAAGTCACAAATGATGGTTGCAGCTGTACAGGCTGCAGTGAAAAATGAGGTGAAGAAGGGTGGGGATTTTGGCAGGAGTCAGAATGAAGTAAAGAAGAGTGGGAATTTTGGGAACGGTTCAACTGGAGAAAGAAGAGAGATTTTTTTTTTTTATAAAAGTTTTTATTGTTTTTTAACATACAAACAGACAGACAAAACATAAAAACATCAGCTCCCCTATATTTATATACAAACAGTGAGTCGGTTGGTTCATCAGTTTTGTGCGTTCACTTCATAGTCACAATTACAATTACCTTATATAATAATTCTTATTGTCAATACAAACTTATAAATCATCATATCATTATTAAAAAAAAAGAAAAAAGAAATTTGACTACGCTTTTATTCGATCATGCCTTTGTGAGATAACTATATTTTAAGTAATTTATTCTAAAACAAATCATATAATCGTGCCAATTCTATCCTAAAATAAAAGAAAAAAAAAGGAAAAAGAATACCATTATATAAGTATAATATCCAATACCAAAAATGAAAAAAGAAAAATAAATTCAATATTATTCCTTATTATCTAGCATTTCAAATACTCTATTTTTGTATTTCATCATTCAGCCATTGATAGAAAAGATCCCAAATTATATAAAATTGTTTATCTTCTTGCTCTCTAATTTCAAAAGTCAATCTACTCATCTCAGCACATTCCAATATTTTCTTTATAACTTCTTCTTGTAATGGAATTTTCTCATTTTTCCAATTCTTTGCAAATACAATCCTAGCCGCAGTCAATACATTTACAATCAAATATTTCAACTCTTTACTATAAGCATCTGGTAAGATTCCCAATAAAAAATACTCCGGTTTCAGGTCTATGTGCTTCTTTGTCATTTTTTCCAGCCATGTGTGGATTTTAGTCCAATATTTTCTAGCATCCTCACAGGTCCACCACATATGGTAGTATGAACCAGGTTTCTGATGACATTTCCAGCATTTTTCGGATTTGTTCTTGAACATTCTTGCTATCCTTGTCGGGGGAAAATGCCACCTGTAAAACATCTTATACAAATTTTCTTTATAGGCTGTAGACATTGTCATTTTATAATTTTGCAACCATAAATTCTGCCATTTCTCTAAATCAATCCCATATCCAAAATTCCTCCCCCAAGCAATCATAGTTTCCTTAACTTGTTCTTCCTCCAGCTTAATTTCCAATAAGTAACCATATAATTTTTTAATCACCTTTTCATCAGTACCCATCAAAATCTTATCTAAATCAGTTTGTTTATCATAAAATCCCTCTGTTTTGGAATCCTCATGATACTTTGCATGTATTTGCAAATATGAAAACCAATTCATCTGTATACCTTGTTCCTCTAATTTTTGTATCGATTTAAGTTCACCCTTTTCATCTAATAATTCCCCATAGCTAACTGTTTGTTCCTTTTTATAAATTATAGGGTAAGAAAACGCTTCTATCGTCGATAACCAAACTGGAATTTTCAAATAGCATTGTTTTTTTGTCTTCTCCCAATTTAACCACAGAGACTCCCGTATATAATGTCTTCTAAAATACCCCTGTGTTTTAGTTCCCTTATACCATAAAAATGCATGCCAACCCAACAACAAATCATGACCTTCTAATGTCAACAATCTGGTTTTCCTTAATGTTATCCATTCTTTAACCCACATCAAATTTGCAGCTTGGTAGTACAACTCCCAATTAGGCAGGCCAAACCCTCCTCTAGATCTAGCATCCTGTAAAAGCTTTAACTTTATCCTTGCTTTCTTGCCTTGCCATATATACTTCAAAACAATTTTATTTAAGTCCTCAAAGTATTCTTTTCCAAGTCTAATTGGTATTGTTTGAAACAAAAATAAGATTCTGGGTAAAATGTTCATCTTAATTGTTGAAATCCTTCCTATTAATGACAATTGTAGGTTTTCCCATTTTTTCAAATCTTGAGCTATCTGTTGTTTAAGTTTAATATAATTGTTCTCCTTTAATGTACTACATCTTGACGTCAAATATATCCCCAAATACTTAACCTTATTTGTAACTTGAATTTTTAACAGTTCTGCCAGTTCTTCCCTTTGTCTCAGCAACATATTCTTTGATAAAATCTTT